TATCAGATGCAAACTTATATTGACATTTTAGAAACCCTAATAATTCAGTTAAACTAACATTTTTAATTTAACTAAAGCATTTTAAAGTTCAATTAATTAAAAAAAAACAATTTATATGCAGTCTTTGACAGGAAGATGTGCGATCGTGCTTATTTATATGACAACGCTAAGACTAAATTTACTAAAGTACCTAAAACTATAAAATACAAAAACCATCCTCATTATTAAGTTCTATAAACCTATCATTTACTAATATTCGTGGTCTTTGAAGTAACTTTTATTTTGCTGAGTCTGATCTCTTGCAAATTTTACTAGATCTACTTGCTCTTTGTGAGACTAAATTGAGATGGGCTTTCTCATTTTGTGATCTTAGTGTTATAGTGTTATCTTCCTTTAATTCGTAAAAAATCCAATAGTCACTTGCTTGGCCTGGGCATTTACATTTTTAAGAACTTACCCATTTGTCGTGAAATTAGGTTTAAATCTACAAATTATTTACGTATGATTAGCAAAATAATTTTCCATCTATTAGCAAAAAAATTTGTAAACAGATGTCTATTTACTAAGGTCAAATCCTGAAATTCTCAGTCAAAAAAATTTTTTTTTATCTCAAAAACTAGGCTCTCTTGTCTTCTGGAAAATCTTTAACAATATCAACAATAAGAGTAAGTCTGTTATTCCACCCCTCTTGTATTGTTCTGATTTTATCACCTCACCTTAGAACTGGGTTGTTTGTATAGAACTTTTTATCAATATCATCTCTTGATTCCACTAATTGCGTTCTACATGTTATAGCTGACAAACAGGTCTATTGCTTGTCAATTGTATCACTCCAATATCTGTATCAAAAATGATTTTCTGCTTAAATTCTTTTACAGCTTGTGGTCCAGACATCATATATGTTATATTCTTGCAGATGTGTTCTCCCGAGCTGTCGTCTTTACTTTTAAAACTAGTTAACTACTGTTGATTTATTAATGGTAATAACTAACTGGTTTTTTTGTGCATTTAACAGATGTGAACGGACTAATAACATTTCTAAAGCATTTAATAAAGTTTGACATGCTGGTCTTCTCCTCAAACTTTTTTTTTTAGGTGTATCAGGTAACATCTTTAGGACTATTGAATCCTTGCTTAATAAATTGATAAAAACTCTCTTTAACAAACAATTCTCTTATTCATAGCCTGTAACTTCAGGAGTTCCTCATGGTTCAATCCTTGGCCCTATACTTTTTTAAATTAGGTTAACTGTCTTCTTAATATTCTTACACTTAAGGTGGTACTGTTTGCTAATGGTAAATTGTTATCGCAATAATTTAGATTTTTTTTTTTTATGAATGATAATGTACTACTTATATCATCTTCTCTTCATCATCAAGGATTAATTATTTTCCTATCTTTCTACGAAAGCATATATCAAATAAATCTCAAGTCTGTCAATTGTTATCTTGCTCTATAAACCTCAGGCAGAGATACGCCATCTTTAAATGGCAAATTTATTCACGCTTTCACATGATGTCTTACGCCTTATATGACTTTGCATAAAATGCTTTATTTTGACAACTTGGCCACAGTTCTTTGCAAGATTTGACACTTAGCACTTTTTAAAAATGCGCTAGAAAAAACAAAGCAAATGTAATTGCGAATTTTTGTTTTATTGATTCCAAAATTACCAGAGTATTTTAGTGCAATGTAACAAAAAACAATCAGCTCAGCACAAGTTGAGTAAATAAGCCATCAATAAATTTATGAAAATGGCTTATCATGAAAATAAAGTTTCCGATTAAAAAGTTATATACATAACTAACAAAATAATTACAACAATCTTGAAATAATTGCTTACGCAAACTATTTTTAACTATACCAGGATTTTTTTTAAATAACATTGGCAATAAAATGAAAACTATAATAAACATTAGTTCTATATATTTTCGTAATTTATATATATATTTCAGCAAAAATTAAAAATTTTTTCAAAATATTTAATTTGCTTTCTTTAATAAAAGAAAGCAATTATAACGTTACGCATGGTTTCTTTTGAAGTAATTGAAAAAGCAAATGGTTGAAGTATTTGCAAAAGCAAATCTTTGTAAAGTTACATCTCTTTTCTACATATATTATCAATGCCCATGCTCAAAGGAGCTATCATCTCTAGTTGTATCAACTAAAATTCATTCTGGTTTGACTTGTTATTCATCAAAGTCGCATTCTTTTTCTTTGTCTAGTTTTTTTATGAATTTCTCCCATCTTCATATTTTCCTGACTCATACAACCTTCAACTTTTTAAGTCTTCTGTTAACCGTTTCCTTGTTCTATAACTTTATTCTTTTTTACTAGCAACTCCCAACTTAGTAGTGGTTGCTTTCAGTCTTGTTGGGAGTAAATCAGAATCAGAAATAAAAAAAAGCATTCCTTATAAAAAAAATTTGGCATGCTTTTAAAAGCGCATGCAAAAACAATGCTTAAACATAACTTTTTTTTTAAATAGCGTACTTAATTACTTTTCTTAAAAGTATTATTATAATAATAAATAAAAAAAAGTTATTAAAAATAGGAATCTTTTTTATTTTTAATATGTCACATATTAAAATTATAAAACAGTTTCATATTAAAATTATAAAACAGTTTCATATTAAAAATATAAAACAGTTTCATATTAAAAATAGAAACAATTTATTATAAAAATTACATTGTGTTTCTTATAACAAATAAAGAACTATCAAATCCAAAATAATTTAGAAAAAAATTGCTGATGTATTGAGTTCGTTTTGAAAAATCTTAATGTAACACTAATGTTTGATTAAGCAAAATTACTCAAAAACCTGATGATTTCTTTTCTTTTTTTTTCTTACAAACGTTCGCACATTTTTTGATTTGTTGTACCCTGTTTCCTATTAACATTTTAATAAAAATTGAAATTTGCACCAGAAAACTTTATTAAATTTCATGGGACTTTTAAACAGCCTAATTTACTTACATTTTTAAACATCGTGCTGTATTAAATATATCGAAATAAAAGGGGCGGCTGGAACACTCTAATATATATATTATGTATGTAAACAAAGTTCATAAAAGTTATTGCAAGATTTACCGAAATTTGTTTAGAAAATGGGCTGCTTAATAAATAATTTTAATCGTGTAAAATGTATTTAATTTTATTCTTTAATGAATAAAAATCAATCAAAGACTCTGGATTGGTTTTATATTCAAAATATATTAAAAAATTTAGCTTTTATATATTAAAATCTTTGAACTTCCTCTAACTTATCCTTCCTGTCACACCAGTTAAACAGATTAGCCCAATGATAAACACTTTAATCAATTTGGCTTTCAATACTAAAGTTATTTCTCAGTTAAATGCTTCTAGAGTTTGTAATTCAGACAAGATTTCTGTCATTGTCTCTTTAGTTTTTGTTAAACTATTAAAAAGTGCTAAATAAGTGGTTCCAATTTTTAAAAACTCTAGATAATACTTTGACCTCTCCAACTTTGACACAAAAAGTTTTTTGAGGTTATTAATTCATTTTTTCATAACTGCAGTATTAAAGTTATTCTTGAAGGCCTACACTCTTCATCATTTTGAGTAACTTCAAGGATACCACAAGTTTCTATCTTTGCCTCTGTATTATTTCTTATCTGCAATAACAATCTTCATAAGTTTTACATCTAAAGTGGCCCTATTTGCATGTTACTCAAATTTATAATTATAGTAATAGCTTAAAGCTATTACTGAAGATCAACAATTTTTAGACAAAATTTGTTAGACAAAAAGATTCATTTATTTACGGCAATAAAATGTTTCAATATTGTTGGTTTTCCTATATTGGCGAATAACACCCCTCTTTCTCTTAGAAAATGTTTCAAAGCACATTGGTAATGTAATTAGACCTGCTTTATCTGCCAAGGTTAAACGACTTTCTCATTGTCGCATGACTACATTTTTTAAATTTTTTTTACAAATACTATTATAGTCAATGCTCAAACGAACTATCATGTCTGTTATAATAAATCTCATTCTTGCTTATTAAATTGCATTTTTACAGTATCTGTTCCTTCATGCTATAAAAACTTTAATCATTCCAGTTTTTTTTCTTACACATCAAAAAAACCTTATAACTCTTATTAATCTTTATGTTTTACTTTTTTATGCAGCCTGCAACTATTTCAGTTAGCCATTTTCTAGCATTTTAAACATATTCTATGTTTTAAAACAATGCATAACTTAATGCATAACTTGCAATCTTGTTGAAAGTAAATTAGAGATTAAAAATATATAAATAAATGCCATTATTTAATAGATAATAAATGTAAGCATAAAATAGTTTCTTTAATGATTCATATACTAGGAAATCCTATGAAAAAAAATTCCTAGAGGTAGTTTTTCAGAATATCTAACTTTGTAAAAACTTTGTTTTTACAAAGATATTGTAAAGATATAAAAAATTACCAAAACTTATAATTACAATCTTTAACTTATGTTTGATTAGTTTTAGGTTCATTAATTTTTATTAAGAACATTTAATTAGTTACTAAAATTTCATGGGGTAAATGTTGTGATACCTATAAATATTATTAATAATTTTATTTCTCTACATCATCAACCTAGAAGTAACTTTTCCATTGAATATATAATGCGAGAATTTAATTTTTTTAGTTATTATAAAATTAACTAACAACCTTTATTGTTAAGGTAATATTTATTTCTTTTTAAAAAAACAATGTTTTTAATATTTGCTCTTGATTTATGTATGCTGGGTATTACTGGTATCTCCATAATTAAGAATAAAGCATGTGTCTCTGAATTTGAGATTAAGTTTCTGAAACTTAATTAATTCTGAAAATTAAATTATTATAATTAAATCTTTGCATTTTTAAATTTTTTTTTTTAAATAAAGTTTTTAACAGTTTTAATTAAATCTTTTTTTTTTAGTTATAAAGGGTTTTGTATTAATTGTTGAAACTTTTTTTTTAACGCAATTTATTTTTCAACATTATTTTAGGATACAGTGAAGTTCTCAGTGAAAAAACTTTTGAAGTAGAAAAAGGTAAAAAATGGGATAAAGTAGTGTTTTTATCTAAAAGTTTTGAAATTAATTTTGAATTTTGTTTTACAACTGAGAATAATAATCTTGAACAGAGTCTGACAAACTTATTTCGCATTGGGGAAAAAATTTATGGGTATGAAACCTGTGAATCAAAATATTTAACTGCGTTTTTTGGACCTGCTAAAGCAAAAGGAATAAATTTGAAGTTCGGTCAATGTCTGAGTGGGACATACAGCGAAAAAGATTTATCTATTAATCCAGGATGTATACGGTTTCAAATAGCACAGCGTTCTGTTAAGGAGTATTATCAGTCTATAATTAAAGTTGATGATGTAGAGTTGTTTAACTTTCAAAACCGAAACCCAAAAGATTTACTGAATGTTTATATATTATTTTCTGACGATAATTATGCTTCACAACCTGGAATAGTCAAATATCTTAATGTGGCTAATGCCGACTGTTGTAAGTTTTTTTTTTCTATTTTAATTTATTATTCAATGCTTTTTTATTTTATTTTTTTTATTAAAACTGGTATTTGGTGCAGGCCTGTGAAATCAATAAGTTCCTGAAAGCAAAAAAAACAACATTAGAATTGAGGAGAATTGTTTTTAAAACAAAGCAATTTTTAAAAGTTTCCTAAACAAAAAGAGCGAGTTATGCAATATAAATTATTTTTCTTAAGTCATGATAACAAAGTAATTTATTAACTTTGTCATTATTATTTATTCTTACAAAGTTATTATTTAGTAACAATAAATAAAAAAATTGTTTTGGTACACTAATACTAAAGCTTAACCACTAAAATGGGTAGAGCAGCGCTAATAAATCTAAGAAATTTGATGAAGTGTTAATGATCAGAGTGTCAAAATAATCAAGTTATTTAAACAATATGATTTTTTTTTGAATTATTTATTTTTTCTTTAAAATAATCTTTTTTTTTTTAATTAAGTAGAATAATGAATCTTTGTCATTTAATTTGTACAATCTTTTGGCATACAAAATTACTGAGTAATCTTAAACAACCTGTAAATGCAAAAAAGAAGCAGGAAAATAATTTTTGAACTAAAGAAATCTAGGAAAATATTTTGGTAATGTTATATTAAAACTTATATTAAAACATCATTAACTATATATACATAGAGACATTTAAAAACAGAAAATGCATAGAAACAACAAAAAAAGTAATACACATAAACACTAATAAAAAGTAGTAAAAAATTAGGTTTTACACTTTATAGCATGCATTTGCTTTTTAGAAAACCAATAAAAAAGATACCAACCCAGCAACAAGTTGTCTAAAAAATGTATTAAGCTCTACTTAAAAGGCGTATTAAAGATGTCTTATACTAATCTAAAATGTAATACTGTAAAATGTCTTATTAAATGCGTTTTAAAGTTGTTTTAAATGAAACGCTTCATATAATCATTAAGTTGTATAATTTATGTTGGTTCAAAAACAACTTAAACTGGTATTTAAGTCCAATAATTAAAAAGTCCTTAAGATGGGATTGCAAAAAATCTTAACTTTTTGTTTATTTTTTTTTTACTCAAACTCACTCCCAACAAGGCTGTAAGCAACCACTATTAAGTTAGGAGCTATTATAAAAAAAGGAATAGAGTTAGAGAACAAGGAAACGGTTGACAGAAGACTTGAAAAGTTGAAGGATATATAAGTCGGGAAAATACGGTGATAGGAAAGAGTTCCAAAGGATTGAACTGCAGGAGAAAAAAACACAAAAATAAAAGATTTTAGAGCATGCAAGATTAATGGCAAGTAAAACAAGAATGAGTTTAAGTTGAAAGAATTAGAAAAAACTGCTCCTTTGAGCAGCGTCTATGACTCTATTTGTTAAAAAGAGAAAAGATGTAGTTTTCCGACAATGGGAAATAAGCTCAAGCTTAGAAGATAGAGTGGGTCCAACTATGTTTACAATGAGTTTTTAGACCTTGTCTAGAAGTGAAAGAGCATCATTAGATCAACTAGCCGGCATATGACAACAGTTTTCCATACAGGGAGATTTGTAGAGGTGGAGAATGGAATCGAAACTAAAAAAACAGCAAACATGATAAATAGAAATCTTAGCAAAATCTAATTTACCAATTGATTGTATATAAGAATTCGATGAAAAGTCAGTAGTAAACAATTTTTCCTAGAAAACTTAAAGAAAAGAACTCAGTGAGAGGGTTGCCATTGATTAATATACATTGTTGCAACATATATTAATCAATTAAAGCTGTTAATTAAAAATAATCTAATAATCTCAAAAACCTTTCCAGATACACCATATGAATCTAGCATATAGAGATCAGCATGCCAAACTTTGTCGTAGGCTTTAAATATGTCAAGAGCAATAGCCCTAGCCTCTACACCTCCATTTTATGCATGATAACATCTTTCAGTCACAACAGTTAGCATGTTAACGATATAGTTAGAGGATCCATAACCCTATTGAATGTTTGACAGTAAGTTATTTGATTCAAGATAAGATATAAGAAAATTTTTATCAAAGACTTAAAGAGTTTGCTAATAAAAAAAAGAAAACTGATCGGTCAATAATTAGAGAAGTCAGAGTGTTGTCCAGAGTTTTTAAAGATTGGAACAATAAATGCCTATTTTCTCTCTAAAGTATTAAGTAAGATTGGAACTAAAACTTATTTTTTTTTTCTGCCAGCTGGCAAAAGAACAAAACTCAGTTAAACACTTATCAAATACTTTAGAGAGAATTGAAGAGAGTTTTGGAAAAAAAAATTGTAAGACTATGACAGGAATGTTGTGTTGACCACAAGTAATAGAAGAGTTCAATTGAGATATGACTTTAGCAATGTAAATGTTGTAAATGTCTAACAATTGGTTTACCTGTTTAATTGAAATGGAAGGAAGAAAACGGCCATAAGACTTAAGAGTTGAATTTGAAGTAAAGTTTTTTGCAAAAAGTTCTGACTTTTTGTCTTGGAACCAATG